TCTGGCTGAGCTGTTGATGACACATAGCTCAGACTTATTTCAGATGAACAAACTGCATTGTTAATGCAACAAGAGATATGCCAGGTAGAAGTAAGTACTTGTAGATGCACTCAAGATTTTAGATTTTTGCATTTCAGACCATGCCAACTATACTGCTATTGCTCAAGAGGGGGGAAACCGAAGATGCTGGTGAGGAAAAGGTACAGTTACGTCTCCTCATCAGGTGAAGTACACTAGGCCAAAAGTATGTGGACACCTAACCCCGACACCTATACAAGCTTGTTGGATATCCCATTCCAAAACCATAAATATGTGAATTACTATGGAGCTGCCCCCCTGTTTGTGTCTTTAACAGCCTCCATTTTTCTGGAAACGTTTTCCATAAGATTTCGGAGTGCCTATTCAGTCAAAAGAGCATTTCTGTTGGACCAGAAGGCCTGTCTTGCAGTCAGTGTTCCAATTCATTTCAGGGGTGTTCAGTGGCATTGAAGAGCTGTGCCTTTATGGACCTCGCTTTGGGCATGGGGTAGTCATGCTGGAACAGGAAAGAGCCTTCCCCAAACTGCTGCCACAGAGTTGGATGCTTGTAATTATATGAAATGGGGGTGCTGTAGTGTTTACATTGCCTTTCACTGAGCCCAAACCCTGAAAAACTGCTTCCCCAAACTTTACAGTTGGCACTTTGCATTCCTGTAATTAGCGTTCTCCTGGCATTTGCCAACCCAGATTTGTCCATCAGACTGAGCAAATGCATAGCATGATTCATCTATCTAGAGAACGTTTCCATTGCTCTAGAGACCAGTGGTGGCATGCTTTACTCCACTCCAGCCAGTGCTTGGCATTGAACATAGTTTTTTCGCATTATGCACATCAGTACTCTGAGAGTTTGGGTTGGTTGAATCCTACAACAGTAGCATTTACAGTTGACCATACCAGATCTAGAATGGCAGGAATTTCACAAACTGACTTGTGGCAAAGGTGGCATCCTACGACAGTGCCATGTTCAAAGTCTGAGCTCTACAGCATGACCCGTCCTACTGTTTGTCTATGGAGATTTCATGGCTATGTGCTTGATTCTATACACCTGTTAGCAATGAGTGTTGCTAAAACACCTAAACTCAATAATTAGGAGTGTTATCCACATACTTTTGGCCATATAGTGTAGCTCTAGATTATGTATAAAACTAGATCCCAAAGAATTGAGTAATAGACGTTTTACAGCAGGAGTGATTTTCCCAATGGAACACCCTCCTTTCTCAGGCTTTGTAATCTGTTCACTTGGCATGCATATGCAGGCCCAGCTGGAACTGCTCACATCAGTGGGATGAGGAGAGGAAGAATGATTATTTGATCAGTATTTATTTTTTTTACTGTTCCCATGAGTGTGTGCACTGCTGAGATCCATTTTTTTTAGCATCCAAAGTCTTTCAACATCACTAGCACATATTGTCTCATTTCCTCGTAACTGACACAGACTGTTCTCTTTTTGTTGAGGGGCTGTCTCAAGCATGAAGATTTACTTCTAGAAGTCATTGGATGTCACAAACTGACTGCCTGTGTAAATCTATCTATCGTAATTTATGTTCTGATAAAGCCAACAAAAAAATGTCATGTATAAAAAGAATTCACAGTGCTGTGCAAAAGTCAGAGGCCCTTCATTCAATTTCATAATGGTCATTAAGTACAAGTTATTCATTTTTCAGCGTCAGAAAAAGTCTGAAAACATAACAGTAAATTACTCAGACGCTTCAAAGACTAAAAATGTAACATTTTTTATTATTTAGTTTGTCCACTGTTTGCCTTTATTACAGCTTCCATTCTCTTTGTGAGACTTGCTTTCAGTTTTTCAAAGAAATCTGCAGGGATATTTTTCCACACCTGCAAAGTTCAGTCTTAGAAGTAGGTTGTGTTTTTCCCCCACTTATTTTCCTTTGGCTTTCACTTTTCATGTGCAAGTGGATCTTATTAAATTTAAGCTCCTCAGAAGGATCTCCTGAGAAAAGAAAAATTTGTATTTAATTGCTGTTTTGACTGGAAATTAAGTAAATGAAGGGTGACTTGCACAATATAAGTAAATATTATTGTTAACAAGTATTTTATTATTATTGTATAATTAAGCATAGTGTTTATAGTTGTCTTAGCCTGTGAAATAACAGATTCAGTCTATATAATAAACTAGTTTTATAGTTAATGCTTAAAATCAAATAAACCAGCTCAAGCCTGGACATCTGAACTGGTCACTTAAGTGATTCATCCAAAGTTCACAGCAGGTACATGTTTTACACTCTGGTCTTGTGGGATCTTTCTTTCAGGTGTGATGAACAGTATAATTGTGCCTGTTTTTGTTTCTGAAAAGGAACTTTAAGGGGTTTAGCTGGTCTAGTTTGCTGTTATTGCAGACAAAAGGGGAGAAGTGCATACTGAAGATGATAGAAGAGTTTTCAAAGCCTTTTTTAAATAGGTCTTAGTCCCCTCCACCTCCCACCCCTACCTGTCACTCACAGTATGATGATTTCTGATCCACATTGGTTTTAACTTTCATTATGTGTTGGTCCAGCTGAGGTCATGACTAAGGTGCAGTAAGTTACATAATTTTTGTACAGTGAGTAGAATAGAAACCACTGATCTCCTTTATGTTTGCTCTTTGTTTTATTATAGTCTCGTTTTAACAAGCACATGACTGCTTTACCATCCAGCTATCATCATGGAATCTTATAATAAGATCTCTTAGTGTGGAAGAAAGTTTTAAACATTTTATTCTAACTGTTCGTTTATTTGTTTTTCCACTTTACAGTTTTGCTTACATTAGTCAATCTATAGCTCCTGTAAATACACATTGAATACACATACATGTACACACACACATGCACACATTTTGGCTTGGCTTTGTCTCAGGATTATATGAAAATACAACAAAAGCCATTAGTTGCATTCTGATGTTTTAGATGCATAGTAGTAACATCTGCATAGACGGTTCAAAGTTCTTTTTTAGGGGTGGGAATTTGTAGGCTACATTATGACTTTATTCCCCTGTATTTGTCATTAGCAAATGTTAGTTCAGCTGAATTGGATGGTAAGCTAGACTCTGTGCACCAGTGAAGTCTGTGTGCTTGTTTCACCATCTAATAGATGACTAAATGATAGACCAATAGTCTAATAAACTAAAATCTAAAAACTGAAGGACAAAACTACATTTTTGTTTGTTCTTTTTGTTTTCGTGTCACATTGTATACAGTAAAGGAATGTTGGGTAATAGAAATGTTGGATACTAATTCATTAGAAAAAAAGTAGAATCCCTGTCAAGCTTTTTCATTTTCATAAACTTTTCAATTTTGTGTCATGTAATCATAAATATGAACATATCATTGCTATCCTTCTACATCATTTGAGCACAGCTGCTCTTTACATTGTCTCAAAATTTCATGATGAATAGATCAATACAAATGCTCCAAAAAATCCACTTACATTAGCTTATATTAAAAGTGAAGAAAGTTTTTGCCTTTGGAGATACAGGATGATATAACAGTGTTTAATGATGAAATTATATTTTGTAAGAAACTTTTCTATCCAAATAACAACTACTATGCTGTTGCAAACTTGCATTAGTTCTTTGTTGAGGTTTTTAAGGTTATATTAGCACCAAGCTAATGCAGCTGTACCTTGATTACGTAGGTTTTAAAGGCCACTAGATGCATCGTGTTGCATCACACAGCTTCCAGAAATCGAAACCAATGTTTTTAATGAAGATACGCACACTAGCGCATACATTCAACGTCAATACGCACCGGCACTTGCCGACGCCTAGGACTATTGTTTTCTCAGCATGTCACAATGTGCCGTTCACCAATTTATCATTACTATATTAAATCAAAGCCATATTGAGACCACTGAAAGCCAAAGTAGATGACGTGGCTTGAAATTTACACAGAGAAAGGTAGTTAGCCTTTTAGATTAACAGACAAATGTTAATAGTAAGTTTTCTCAGCTAACGTTAATAGCCTAGTCTTTTTTAGCCTTTGTCTTTCACCTTGGAAACAATGAGTTTGTGAAGAGGTAGTAAACTGATGCCAGTAGTGTGAAAAATTAACTTGAACTTGACGTTTGTCAGCACTCTCACTGCAACACATTCTGTGTTGTTCATCAACGCTTTGTATGTGATGCTATGCTGCCTGATGCTGTGCTGAGTGATGCTACGTGATGCAGTGAGGGCATTTGGTAGCCTTAATACTACTTTATAGCAGTTCCAGCCTAACAGTTGACATTTGAAGCTTGTAACATTTGAAGCTTGTATTTTGCAGTTTACAGTTAATTCTCGAACTTAAAGACAGACTCTGGATATTACTGGATTAGCCTGTTGGCAATTTGCAGAAGTGGTTCTTAAACATGACCCTCAAAAGGCTTTGTTTATTATTGTTTTGGGATTTTTATTTCATATACACAAAAATTGTGATCAGTTTATGACTGCTACCACGTGTGCTTTAGTGAGATCTTTTACATTTTCCTCCTTTGAGCCAAATTTGACCCTTCATGACTTGTGAGTTAATTTTACAGTATGGGAACTAAAGAGACTAGATAAAAATTTGATTGACGTTTTGTTAATCGATTTAGGACCTTTCAGGAGAGAACCACATCTGAGAATGCATCTAAGAATAAAAACGATTATTTTTCCCACCCCCGGCTTTCTGTGTACTTCATAGCAATGAGTTTCATAACATGTACAGCATCAATTCAACAACATATCCCTGAGACAAACAAGAAAACTGCTTTATGCAAACTGAAAAGGAGGCAAAGAACATTTCAAAGTCCATTTCATCTGAATACAAAATGATGATTGTGAATGTAGAGCACTCTCTAGACCACCAGATCATTAAGTGGTGATATATTTCCAGCTGTAGTTCTCCTGTATTCTGCTGTGCCATAGAGCAAGGCCAAAAATAAGGTCATTTTATGGACGAAAATAGCTTGAGAAGGGCATCAAATTCAAATATAACTGCCTTAATCTTATCTTCTTTAAAAAGGTGAGATTAGCATTATTAATCCCAAAAGGATTTGTGTTCATTTCTTCACAGATTTGGTAGATAGAATGTTCTGCTTTCTGTACAGGCTTAGAATAGAACATGATAATGAAAACAAAAGGTAAAACACTAATGCATGTTTTACCTTGTGTTTGATAGAAAACTTCAAAAACAAAAAGACTACTTGCTGTTGGAGACTTTGATCATTTAAACATATTGTGAATAAATATCCATGAGAAACCAAGATATCCAAGCTGCTTTTGTGTGTTTTAAAAGTTTATCTGTCTTGATAGCCTCGAGACTGTTTAGAGAACTTCATCCAAGCTTCTGGCAGAGCAATAAGAAGTTATCTGAAGTTGCATTTCATGAAGCTGCTGTCATCCCCTTTAGCTCTTATCTGTCCATTTTTAACTGCAGCTCTTTGGGAACTCATATGCTTGACAGGATTGAGCATTTTAGTTATCCAATGGGAGTTTGTTCACTTTTTTCCCTTCTTCTTGGTATCTTTGTCTGTCTTCTCCTTATCAGCCTTCTCCTTCTCCAGCCGTTTCTTTTCTTTCTTCTTCTCCTCTTTTGCCTCCTTGTACTTCCACACTGGTGGCTCCAGGTAACCTTTAGACATCTTCCTCTTCTTTTCTTTCTTGGGCGTGGGCCCAGTGGACTTAGTGACTTTGATTTGAGGGACGCAGCCGGTGGGGAAAACGCTGTTCCGGCGGGCCATGCTGCGTGGGACAAACTTTCGGACACTGTTGGAGGCCATTGAGAGCACGCTGCCCCTCCGCTCTGTGTCTGAGCAGCAGGAGGCCAGTGACACTGAAGAGGCTGAGGTGATGGAGGGAGAGGCAGAAGATATTGAGCCGTTGCTATGGCGCACTGCACGTTCCTCCAGCTCTTTGCCTGGGTTCTGCTGCATAAGGTCAGGCACGGCCAGGCGCCTCTTGCCAATCTCTGGTGGGCTGGTGGGACAGAGCGGTCGACAGCCAGTGACCACCAGGGGGCTGTGTATGCTGGTGGTAATGCGCACCATGTGGTCCAGGACACCGTTGTCCTGAGGGTCTTGTGGGAAGCTGAAAGTAAAGGTGGACTTCAGCCGATGGGCAACCTTCTGCCCCGTGCTCTTCATGGCTGTGGCCTTGGCCACTAGTTCTTTCAGTTCTGGCCATTCTGGGATGAAGCTTTCACAGAATTGTTCTGCACGGGGCCTGATGGACAGCTGCCTGAGCCTGCTAAAAGTCTCAAAATGTCCTGTCTTCAGCGCCCATTCCGTCACGTCCTTACCCCGTGTGCCGTCCACTGCATATAAGTCTGCCCCTGAGATAAAGACAGATAAGAAATAAGAGTTAAGGTGCTTTACACGTTCCAGTATGATTAATTAATTCCTCTCAAGAAAAAACTGACAAAAAAGTGACTAAAAAAATATTGCTTCAGATCTGAAAAAAATGTGGTGTTTCGGTCCATCCTTCCACTGTGAGAAGACAACTCAACACTATGAGTCTGAAAGGATGTGTAGCTGCAAAGAAGCTGTCAATGAGAAAAGGAAATAAAACAAGATTTGCACTAGAACACTAAAACTGGACATATGAGTTGTGGAATAAGGTTTTATGGACAGATAAGACAATGGACAAAAGTAGAATAGAAAGAAGAAAATATGCAAATCAAACAAAGAATTTGCTGGTATTCTCAGACCATTGGATTAACCACCCCAGAGCCAAAACCTCAACATCATTAAATGTGTTCAGAATTGTTTGGATCATGATGAGCAGAATGAAGGTGTGGAAAAATCCCTACAGATTTCTTTGAAAATCTGAAAGCAAGTCTCCTGAAAAGAATGGAAGCTGATATAAAGGTAAAAGGAGGACACAGTATTGGACACACAATACTGACAAGTATGATATTCTATTTAGTTGTTATAGTTTCTGTGGAATTTTCTCTTCAATATATACTTACTACATTTTTTTCTGACCCTAAAAATCAATAACTTGTATTAAACGGTCATTTTCACTGGAAATAAAGTAATAAAAGGTAGCATCACTTTTTCACACTACTGTGCGTCATCTTAAAGGCTTCCTGATCTTTTTCTGATTAATTATTCTGGAATCTTTAGAAGATTATGCATGCTATTGTTCAGTTAAGTCTATAATGTTTGGCCTTAAAGAAAAAAAAACTACACTCATTTAACTGTCAAATGATTAGTAGATTACTTGATTAGTAATAGCATCTATAACTATTAATTATAATTTAGTGATTGTAGTGATTGTACTTGTACAGTGTATTATAATAGCTCTCAGTCCAGTTTCTGGGGACCTTCGGTGTTTCAATGCTCTCCATGGTCTCACACAGCTCATAGATTTGATTACTTAGTTACATAGACAGCATTGTTGCTCCCCCAAGTGGCCAATTAAGGAACAGCCTTAAATAAAATGTTATGCAGGAGGCTCAACATATTTACTGTACACCTTAAACGGTAATGTCATAGTCCAGCCTATTTTAGTCCAATTTTAAAGGTAACAGTATCTCATACAGTGTCAGAAACATAAAAGGTAGTATAAAAGCAGAAGATGTAAGCAAGTTTAAGACCTCTTTCTGTACCGTAACTGATGGTGACAGTTTTGCCGATCTGCCAGGTCTTGCACAGTTGTTAGTAGGCCCATTTTCGAAGGTATAAGGTAAAGTGTAATATTTTATGGTCAGATTAATATTCTAACCAGTGTGAAACAAGTGTCCTTGCTGGATCCTCCACAAAAGTGTTAAGGGTGAATTACAGGCCTTTAATTCATGATTACTCAAGTGAAGTAATTGAACGGAACAGCTGCTGTTTCTGAATTGGATCTTTCAGTTGTCTCAGTGATTTTGTCAGGCTGTATCAAGACTCAACACCTTAAACTGCAGACTTATTATTCAGTTGTTAATAGTAAGACTTATTATCTAGTAACTTTATAAGTAACTATTATTCCACAACTATGTAAGTTATGTAGCTGCAAAAGCGCACAAAGAAAGTCTGGAACAGCTGTTGATCCTTTTAAGGGGTTAACTACTGTACAAGCTGCAAGAAAATTTTCCTCTGGTGCTACTTGGGTTTAGTTGCCCAGAAATAGATCAGTGTAACTAAACTGACCTCTGTTGCCTTTATTGCACTAGCAAGACGTACTGCTGGATCGTCTCCAGAGGGACTTTAAATAAGTCCTGATAAGTCTACACGTGCCTTAGCCAGTACTCTCTGAGAAAGTGTCCTCAGATTTGACTTTTTAAACCTGTCTGTGTTTGCATCACCATCTCATAGCATCAAACTGTCTGAATGCTTGTTTGGATCCAGCCTTTCAGGTGGAAAGTTACTTTGCATTAGGAATGAATTCAGGTAGTTTCTAATTTTACAGCCATTAGTTGCTTTGAGAACAAAACTGTGTGAATTTTTGCCTTTTCTGTTTTTTAATAGAATTTGACGCTGCCCTTTACATTTAAAATTTTATTATGAATGAAGCAGTAGAAATATCCAAAAATAAATCTTGTTCATTGATTGATTGAAAGTGATTCAAAGTTAAGAATGTTTTTTCCTTCTCCTGTGAAGTTTGGAGGTATAAGGTTTTGTTGTTGTTGATGTGCTGTTGGCTCCCTTTTATGTTTCAGATTATTTTCTTTGCATTTGTAATTTCTTGAGATGTTTAATAATAATAATAATAACAACAATAATAATTTTTATTTATATAGCACTTTTCATGCCAGTGGCAGCTCAAAGTGCTTTGCAGACAGCTGGTAAAAAAAACAGTTAATACAAGAAATTGTAAGTATTAATTTAGAATCATAAGAAAATGAAACAGAATCGAATTAAAAGATAAATACCACGAGACGTAGTTTTAATTAAATGCTAAGTTAAAGAGATACGTTTATAGATGCTTCTTAAAAGTGAGCACTGAGCTTGACTTCTAATAAAAGGTGTAATTGAGTTCCACAGTTTAGAAGCATAACAACTGAACGAGGCCTCTCCATGTTTTCTGGATTTTACGGAAGGTATTTGTAGAAGGCTACTGTCTGCAGATCTAAGATCACAAGCTGGAACATAAACAGACAGACACTCTGTGATGTAAGCGGGTGCTTTAAGGTCATTTAGAGCCTTAAAAACTTGTAGCAGAACTTTAAAATCTATTCTGAATGATACAGATAGCGGTGCCGTTCTTTTAAAATGAGAGTGATCTGATCACTCTTTTGTGTTTTTGTTAGGATGTGTGCTGCTGCATTTTGTACGAGTTGTAGAGGATGTATTGTTTTCTTAGGAAGTCCAGTAAGAAGAGCATTACAGTGATCATAAACAAGTTTCTCTGCATCACTCTGAGATAGAAAAGGCTGAACTTCAGCAATATTTCTCAAATGATTTTTATCTGAGTTTCTGTACCAACAATCAGTATTTCAGTTTTTTCTTGATTTAATTGTAGAAAAATTTTCAACATCCAGTGAGAAATATCTGACACTAGGGGGAAAGAAGTGAAACCATGAGTTGTCTATTACCTAAATATGATTTAGGTAAGAAGCCAACCCAGCATTCATCAAAAGCTGCACTAAGATCTAATAAAACCAGAATAGAAGGATTTTGTGCATCAGCACTTAGCCTGAGGTCATTCATAACTTGAAGCAATGCTGTGTCTGTACCGTGGCTAGAATGAAAACCAGACTGAAACTTCTCAAAGTTTTTGTGATATTACAGGCCCTAATAAAGGATTGATGTTCCATTTGTCTGAGAAACCACCACCAAAAGGCCTACAAATTATTATTATTATTTTTCACCATAATGCATTTGTATACAAAAATATAATGAAACACAGAACAATATGTTAATAGTAGTTCTTTACCTGCCATGACCAGTGAAGCCACGCAGTCATTGTTGCCCTGTATGGCTGCCTTAATGAGAGCAGTAAAGCCTCGGTTGTCCCTGAGTTCAGTGTCCACTCCAGAGAAGAAGTTCAGGATGTAGGTTAGGATAGTCACAAAACCTGTTGTGTTACAGTACAATGGGACTGTTACTTAGCTGCTATATATTTCATTTGCATACATGTGCATTGTTTGAAATATTTATGAAAAAAAAAACAAAGACAACAACAAAACTAAACTTGCCTACCAGCCTGTGCTGCAATCATGAGTGCTGTGTTGCCATCATTGTCTTGGTGATTAATATCCAAATATGGACACTTGTTCAGCCCATACACAATATCTACGAATCCTTTAGCAACCGCCAGCATCAGACCATTCTGCCAAAATCGGAAGAAAACACATCCTTGTCTCATGCCATGAGAGATAGTTTTTGTCTTTGAGACATGTGCAGGTCTTTTAGGTATGTTACTTGTTTAACCATGGTGTGCAGTGGTCATTATTCTGAGAAATTTGCTATAATAACATTGACAAAGGTGACTGGATAGGTTGGGTAAACACACTGGGGCCTGCCCTATGCTCTGTCTTTAAAAAACCTCTAACGTAGCTGCTTATGCACCTTCATGTATGTAACACATGAGTAGCTATGGTAGCTGATGATACACTATAACTAATAGCCTACATTAGCCCCGATTTTACATACTGTAGCAATAGTGAGTACACATACAAATTACATTGTCATTCTTTTATTCACTGACAGTAACTTTCGTATCAGATCCCATTCATTTCTTTGCACCGGGGCCCATAAGATACAATATTGTAAAGTTTGAGATTTACCCATTATTTAATTTCCATTAAAAAGTCATTAAGAATTTATTCATTTCTTTAGCATCATTAAAAAACAGAAAACAGCTTTCTTTTTGGGAGATTTGCTTTCAGTTTTTCAAAGAAATCTGAAGGGATGTTTTTCCACACCTCCAGAGTTCAGTCTTACAAGTTCGTTGCATTTTCTGCAGCTCCTTATTTTTTTGTTTTTTCTTTTCTTCCTTCACAATTCATTTTCTGCTTATTCCAAACACAGTCAGTGATGTTGATATCTGGTCTCTGCATTTCTTGTTCTCAGTACGGGCTTCTTGACAGCTACACATCCTTTCAGACCCACAGATTTTTTTTGTCACAGTGGAAGGATAGACAGAAACACCTGTGGATTTTTCAGATCACACGCAAGAGTGGAGCTTGATTTGCTCCTCTCTCTCAAAGATGAAAGCTTTAAGTGCTGTTCAACTGATGGTGACAGTTTTGGTGGTCTATCCAGTCTTATTTTCCCATTCATTAAGTGGGTTATATATCTACTCTCAGACATATTTCCTGAAAAATTAATAACTTGTACTAATGACTGTTTTGACTAGAAATTAAATATAATAGGTGGTCTCTGACTTTTGCACAGTACTGTAACTGCTGACTGGATACCTACCCTGCCATTGATGTCCAGTTCCATGACTTCGTCCCTTGTGACACCCCTCTCCAGCACTCTGCGAAGGGATGAGGCTTGATTCTTGGCGCAGGCTTGGTACAGGGTATCGGCCGTCCCATCTGCATTGTCCTCACGCTCATAATCAGGGAGGACAGAGTCGTCTGAAAGTAAACTCCCAGAGTCTGGGTCAAATCCAGAAGTACACACCTCTGAGGCATCCTCGTCTGGACCAGAGCCCAGAATGGGGTCCTCCTGCACGATGACCTTAACCTCCGCCATCTGGCTCCCATGAGCCAGCAATCACATACCAGTCAGCCGCTCCATCACTGTTTGTATCCTGGCTGCTGCTTGACCGGGGCCCTGTGGTGAGAAGGTGTGAGATGTCAGTCATTCTGCACTGGTCCCATCAATACCCCTTACCATGTTACTGCATTGAAAAAACAGTAATGCATTCAAATGCCTTGATTCAAATGTGTACATCATTTACGCTAAATTAAATATATGTAATAAATATTAAGCATTATATTCACATATTATGTAAAATAAATAAATATTACATTAACACAGTTATTGCCAAAATGATGTAAACTGAAGTGTGGGCCTGCCAACAGGTCCTTGAAGTTGAAAGGGTTAAACTCTGCATGCTCTTAATGTCAGAGAGAGCCCTGGGTCTCGGTGTGTTGGGCCTGGATTAAAACAGGATAAAGTGCCTCAACGTGGAGTGAGAATGTTGCAGTGATTGACAGGGGCTAATCTGCTGAAGCTGCATTGTGCAACATGCCAAAATGCTGCTGTAATGGGCTCAGAGTCAGTAAAACTCTGTATGGGAACACTGTGAGGTATGCAGTGGCAGTTTCTTGCAAAAGTCAAATAGGTATTGAATAGGCATGGTAATTGCATTGGAGTCTATAGCACAGTGGGGGGTTTGTGGTGACTTGTCCCTCTAACATCTTTATTGTAATTCTTATATTGCTACGCAATTTATTTTTACCCATGACTTATGAGTACCTACGATAACTTAATAATATGCTAATATACAGCCATTTGCCTTTAGTGAAGCACTGACTTGTTGATATGTAGCAATACTAAGCACACTGTCACACACCCTGTCATTTTTTTTAATAATTGAGAGAGTTTTCAGATGGGGGCCTGTTGTTTTTTTTTGCACTGCATTCTAGTTATGTCACTAGTATTGAGTTTATTAATGGAAATGTGGCACAGATATTGGCCTTTTCTGATCAACTAGAAGTTTTTCAGTTGCACATTAAAGTGTTCATATTCTACATTTTTCTGTTTTTTATTATCTATTGTTACCCAGAGGTCTACTTATATCATTTGTGTGGGGTTGTGTACCCAAAACAGTTGTTCATTTTTACATAAACATTTTGCAACCTCTCTTTAGCCTTTCAACCGGTAAACAGACCTTTTTTTGTTACTGTGCCTTTACTGTACACTTAAATATGTAAATGAGATCTGCTCTGATTGGCTGGCCTCATTCAAAAGCGGTTCTTATCATTTCAGTTTGAATAAGCGGAGCTAAACTAGCTGCAGGCTAACTTAGATTGACATGTCAATGAGTTGGTTTTCATAACATCACAGAAACAATGAATTTAAAACAGGCTGTTTTTGCAGCTTAGTTTCCATGTATGGACAGTGTGGACCTGTGGAGTGAATGGTACATTTGAAATGTATACATACTACATCAAATTAAAAATGTCATTCAAAAAATGAACTGAGCTGCTCCCTGAGGTAAAGTTCATAAAGGTCAAAGACAGGGCATGTGGTGCTGATAGCATATGAGGTGAATTCAGACTGGAGCATCTGTTACTAGAACATTTCCCCAATGCATACAAACCAAAAAAGGCTGACTCATCACTAAACTACTTCAGTCAGAGCAGTGATCTTTCTACATCATTCAGAAAGAGTGTAACGTTGACAAGCATCTACGTGTGTGTTTAAAGGGGAATTCCACTGATTCAAAATGTCTGATTAATTTAAATGGTTAAGGTGTAATCATTCGGATTAGTTAATGCGAATGCTCCATTCTAGGCTTACCAAGACAGAATTGTTCACAGTGGTGGTGATAGGAACCAGATGCCTGAAGAGTTTAATGCCACAAAAAGAAACCTCAGATGATTACAAATAGGTGTTCTGATTCTTGAGACATTAGTTTTGAGGTATGATTTTGGTTGTACCTTGTAAAATCCATTCATAGTGGAGAGGTGCATGCAGGACATTGTAAGACAAAACAGCCCTCACAGAAAACTTATTTTTGCAGATTTACCACTATTGTACCATTATCAACAAAACTAAGAGGACAGATAGAGGTTTACCCATTTTGGATGGCAAAGAAAATTGATGTATTTGTGTTATAAACATTGTGACCCCTAGTTCCTATCAGCACTGCTGTAAAGAGGCCCTCATGCACTTCCATGCTGAGTATATAGTGGGTCAGTTTTGAAATATTAACCTGTGAGATTAGAGTAAAGTGATATCTGCCTCTTAGCTGCATCAATCAATGAAGACTTGAATGCTATTAATTCGTGACCAAGCAGATTTGATGATCTAGCCTTTTACTGTAATTATATCACTCAGGCTGATGTCTGTCAAACAGCCTTCACCCCCTGCCACAATGTGACCCTGACAGTGTCAGTTGTTCGCTAAAACAATGCACACATTGTTGAGTACTTCATCCGAGCACTTTCTTGCCAGCAGAAAACCAGCTTTGCCCATTCAGCTTTTGCTCATTTGTTCTTACAAGACAAAATGGCTATTATGCTTCATGGACAGACTATATTTAGCTCTTATTGCTGCTAACATACTGTGACCATTGCAGGCCAACAGAGGGGCACACTGCAAGGCAGGGAGTGAGAGAGGATGGGAAAATATTCTGTTTCAGCTACATAAACAATCTGTCGTTGGAGAACAAGGTCTGCCCCGGCTCTCTCGGCTCCACCGTACAGTTGTGACAACAAACTGTAGTCTTTTCTTGTGCTAATGGATCTGGTTCAGAGTGCGCATTGAAAAAAAGTGATGCATTAAATTTGCTTGACTTAAATGAGTGCATCGTTTCCACATGCTTAAAATAGACCAATGCAGTTTTTTGTCATTTTTATTTGACTATATTTTATTTAGTTTGTATTGATGTAATATATTTTATGTGTGGAAATGATGTACACATTTAATTCAATGCATCCCTTTTTTAGTATGCAAGATTATATTAGAGTGTTAGAGTACTGGACGTTCAGTCAGTTTACAGCAGTATACTATAGCATGACATTGTGCTGAATGTGTCCTGAAATGTATTATTTTCATTAATTAACACAACATGTAATTTAACCAGGGCGACAGGAAGACTATCTTATAGATTTAAACCTCTGATCACACCTCTTCAAATCAGTTTACTGCCAATCTTTCCTAAGTTGTCTTTTCAAACAAACAAAACTTCCCTCAGTGCCTCACCATGATGTTCCCTCAGTGGAAACGTTTCTCAGGTTTCTTCTCTTTCTTCAGCACTCTCATGTCATCCCTCCTCTGTTGTCTTGAGTGTCCTCCTGGTGTTGAGTCTTGCTGAAGACTGTCTTTTCCCACAGAGAGAAGCTTTGCTCCTGCCTGCCCCCTCGTCCTAATGCTCTGCCTAGCCACTTAGACCACCCCATGGCCGAGGAACCCGTCCAAGTCTTTACATAGACGCTTTCTTAAGTCAGACAACATGCTCCCGCTCATCCTGATTATAGGAGATTTGGGGATTAGACGGCAGAAACAGCAACCTGCTTCCTCTCTACAGATAATGTGGCTCGGAGAGCCCCTCTCTTATGTTTTGTTCATTATCTCTTCGGGCCACTGTCTCCTTATTTCCTCTATCTTAAGTATTTTGACTATCTTTCCATCCTCCCTTTGTTTGCCAGAGTAGTGCAGAGAATGGCAGAAGTTGACCCCCATGATTTTAGTTACACATGGTAATTGAACCTGCCTCAGCTATTTCTATGGCAGCCCCTACCCATCCCCAGTGGACCATGACAAAAGACACCATGAAAATCTGTGTTCTAATGATGTAAACAAACTATTGCTGCACATATTGTAGCTTCAGTTCATCAATAAAACACATTTTGTCACTAGCACAAACCTAATGCACACAGACCTAACAACAGAGTGACAACACCTCAAAATGCTATTTATATAATGAAATAAGCCAAGAAGCACAATTTGCAGGGTATGAAAACAGCAGAGAAAAGGAAAGGGAATGAAAAGCCATTAGTCAGTCAGGTGGTCCTGATCACACTGCCCTCTGCTGGGTTTACACTGTTACAGATGGCTCTTTGCCTGTTCTGTTTTGGCCTGTGTGCGAGATTGCCGTGTCTTACCGGCCCATAAATAGCTGTGTAACAGAATATGGTGAGGCTTTAAATGTAGTTTAAGGTCATTAGTTGAAGCCCCGCCCCTGATACGCCCAAATTGTTTAAAGGTTGGTTGTTTAAAGGCACTTTCAGCAGGACTCATTATAATACATTAGGTTTATACAAAGATGGCAATTTCTCAATATTTTTTCATACATTTATATAAAAATATTAATATTTCCATTGTAACAAGTCAAACAATTTCTTTTTAACCAAAATTAGCATTGATTTACAATTAAAAGGGGAATTCCACCAACGTTGAGATGTAAACAAAGTCAATTACGGCATTTTGTTGTGAAGTGGTGCATGTTACTTAAAGTTAAAACTTAAAGTGATTTTCTTTTCAGTGGTTGTGAAATTAACCAGGGGTCGCAATGTCTACAACTCTAATATAGCCATTGTATTTACTATCCAAAATGACCAGTGTCCTCTGTGTAATATAGATAGTGATGTAATAGTGGTAAATCTGAAAAGTTTTCTTTGGTGGTTGTTTTGCCTTATATCGGTCTGTAGGTTAGAAACTTATCAAAACCTATCAAAACAAAGGCAGCGTATTCTTAACCTTTTTCATGTAATAGCTTTCTTTGAGGTAGCTTTTGGAGACAATGAACATTTTGGATGTCTGGTTCCTGTGACCACCAAGTTTCTCTAAAAATCTGTACATCTCAGCAATTGTGTTGTGAAAGAATTTTGAAAACTTGGTGGAATTCCCCATTAATATTGCCTTATGTTATTTGCGAAGGAATTGCGTAAATATATTTAAATCATTTCCATATAATGGAAAGCTGAATTTTGAAATGAAATGAAATGAAATGAAATGAAAAAAATGTACGAAATAAAGACCCAAGTTTACAATATAAGCTGCAAAAACTGTTTTGAAAATTGTTTTGAAAATTATTTTTGGGATGTCACAGAAACCTCTTGATTAACGTTTATCTGCCTATTCAGCCTACAGCAGTTCAGGTCCACTGGAAAATAAGACTCCTGACAACCATGTAAGACCTGGTAGACCACCAAAACGGTCACCATCAGAAAAACAGCACTTCAAGCTTCTCTGAAATTTTGTAATGTATTTTCTGCCCTTTTTTCATCACACTGAAAAGTGAATACGTTAATGGCTGTTTTAACTGGAAATTAAATAAACCAAGGGGTGTGTCTGATTTTTGCACCATACAAAAATAGCCTGTTTAATTCTGATGGATAAAGAGAGGTTGGAAATGGCCATGTAAAGATGAATTATGACTTTTTAATCCATAAACTAATATAAATTGTATAAGTGGACCTCATGGACTAAAGAAAATATAGGACTGTCATGTTTCAATTTTAAGAACCCTTACTATACACAAAATTGGTCACAGAATAAGTAGAGAACATTAAGAGAAACTGAAAGAACTCCCAAACTGACTTACTATCCATTTCAACACCTAAAGCAAAGAGCATTAGTTAAGAAAGTGTTTGTGGTTTGAATTTTTCTACAATCATTCAGACTGTTTTTGTACTGTCTTTGTGCTCATTCTGCAGCTTGGGGAAGTTCAGTTGATCAGTAAACGTTATGAAAGATGGTAGTGTTGATAGGTGCAGAGTCAGGGTCAGGCTAACCTGAAAGACGATGATGAGAGGACGGAGGTGAGCTGAGCTGGCTGGAGGAGTGTGATCAGGAGGGCAGGAAGAGAGAAGTGGGTTTTCTCCCACAGTTGACCTGAAGCAGAAGTGAACTGCAGCCGTGCAGAGCCTCAGGAAATGGCTGAGAGAAAGAGGAAGTTTGTCTGACCTGGCACGTAATGGAGAGGCTGTTTCAAGAGGGGAACTCTTGCAATTTCAAAGGGAGCGAGAAAAAGAGAAGACTTTTAAGAGGCCCTCTCAAGGCTAAAGTATATATGCAGTGATTTTCAAATATTTAAAGCCCCAGAACAAAAAAGTGCTAATGCTATATCTGAGTTTAAAGAGATTTCCCTCTATTCCCAAATGTCTTAATCAGCCAAGACATGTTTGATGTCCAAAGTTTACTTCTTAGTTTCGCACTCGAGCTATGAGGCTGATGTAGCTAACAAGCAATGGAAAGGTATGGGGCAGTACCCCTCTTGTCACTGGGGTGGTACCCTCAAGGTACGGCTTCAGTAGTTTGAAAATGTAATTGTACCATAATCCATTGCAGTTATATTTTTTTAAGTTGTATTGACTCCACAGACCCTCTCTTGCCTCCAGGCTTTTTTATTGCTCTGTTTTAAAACTTTAGGTTATGAAAAGGTACAAATAAGTACTTTTCCCTTTGGGAACATATATTGAAGGTTATTAATGAAAGTATACCTTAAAACCATTGTTTTACCTCTGAAGGTACATCTACATTGTTTGTACTTTGATGAATGAAAATATACCTACACAGTATTTGTAACATAAAGCTAAATGTGGTATAAAATCTGACCTAACACCTCTGATTTTTAAATGACTATTTCAGGCTTTACAGGTCGACTTGCATCAGCGCACACACAGCATATTTTAGCCTGTTTTTTTGTTTTGTTTTTGCTCCTGATTCAGTAATGCTGCTTTTTCCAACTTCAGCTTTAAGCTTCCAATGCTTGTTAGCTATATTGTGTGTTAAACTGTGATACTGTGGCCATTTTAAACACATTCTACCATGCTTAAAAATGTATTAAGTTTGTTGTGTTAGAAACTAAGTGGCATTTGTTTTAAACAGACTATAATTTTCTGTTTGGCAAAGTATTCTTTCAAATGGCGACTGGTTTGTTTTAGACTGTTATGGTTTGAGAAGTTTCTTTGCAGACTTCTGCAGGTTTATATCCAAAGTCTTTGTACACCTCTGAATTCATGATCTCTTCAATGAACACAAGCTCACCAACACCACTGTAAAAAAACAGCCCATTTGATGTCTCCACCTGTTTGCTTTACAGTAGTCTTAGTGCAGTCTGGCTGAAATTCTTCTGTCATCAGTCTAATGTGCTAAAGGCGGATTCCTCTGAAACAAATATCGTTTTGCAAACATTTTGTCAAATGACCTAAGGAACTTCATCAATTTTTACCAATGGTTAAATGGTGTCCAAATACTTTTTGGGACCACTTTATACCTCTGTATACTAGAATAGTGGTTCCTAATTTACAACTAAAGACTTTGGAATAACTTTGTATCACTCTTTTTTGTTGCTAGAAATGGTCTAAAATTACTTGAAAATTACTTGTTCCATTAACTTATATTCAAAGTTAAGAAAGATTCGTTCCTGTAGTCCACTTGCACTGCACTGTTATTTCCTGCACCTAATTCAGTTCAGGAAGAGCTTCATCATTAAGGGCTGGATCATTATGTAATAATGTGTCTCAAGTGAGGAAAAACACAAAATTGAAGCACAGATGTACTACAGCACTGGGGCTTGAAAACATTGAGAGAAGGGCTTTACTGTTCTCTGCATAATGAGCGTGTTTACTCAGTGTACCAGAAGGGGGCATTCATGCACAGTAAACAGTTAAGCCCAGTTAACAGTGACTGAAAATTAGTTCAGACTCTGACATAATCTTTAAGGAATGTCACTGAATTATGTAATGGGTTATGATAAACTACAACTCAACTAACTTCTATAAGCGATTTGACAGGCCGAGTTAAGGTTTGTGTAATAGTTTTTTGGTAGTTTAATGGTATTTTCTTTTGTGATTACATGTTATTTTGTTTACAATCCTATGGAATCCTTTAAGAAAATGTAAAGAACCCAACTGAGCCACTGTCAACCTGTGTACCCACATTTCGATTCTTTATTCTCAAAACTACACAACTTACAGATTTGCCTCTTAGTAGTTGCTGAATAATGTGTATTGTTGAATAACATCTAATTTGACCAGTGGAGCCCACACTTCTACTGTATATAATAACTGAACAGTAAGCTTGGGGTTCAAGTAAAATGCATTTTATTCCAGTGGTATTCCAACATTACAAGACTGCACTCAGACTGTTAAATGTAAATGTTTCTAAATAGTTTAATTGATGTGGTTGAATTGAAACTTTAACTGGTATAGAGGCTTTACATTATGGAGAGGTCATTTAAACATTCAAAGTTCTTTACACTTGCAAAGAACTTTTCAATCAATGATTCTTTAGGGTACCATTGTTGTAACTGAGATTGGTAAGTGTGAAGAACTTTTGAACCTATGGCTTAATTCCAAAGATCCCTTTTGGTCTTTATTTGAGTATGTTTAGTGCACATATATGGTGATCATGCTATGTAGCAGTAAACTCGGGGGTGATACTGGGGTGGCTGTTTTGCGGAACCCTGACTGTGGCATCAAATTACGATTTGATTGTTTTTACATTACTGTTCAATAGTAAGAGATCTTCATTTATTTAATTTCTAGTCAAAATAACAATTAAGTACTCTTAAGGTTCCTCGTTGGAATAAATGTAAGATAATCCACTTGTATATTGGAAATAAGTGAAAAAACAGGAGTTTCCAAAACTGACTGGAAATTATAAAATGAGGCAGAGAAAATGGAACTCCTAACAACTATGCAAGACCATCAGATAAACAGCACTTAAAGCTTTCACCTTTGAGAGAGAGGAGAAAATCAAGCTGCTTCAGATCTAAAAAAATCCACAGATGTTTCTGTCCATCCTTCCACTGTGCAAAGACAACTCAACACTATGAGTCTGAAAGGATGTGTAGCTGGCAAGAAAAAGGAAACATACAAAAAAAGAAGAAAAATTGCAAATCAAATCAAGAAGCTGCTGGTGTTTTCAGAACAATGGACTGACCACCCAAGGGTCCAGATCTCAACATCACTGAATATGGATTACTTGGATTGTGAGAAGCAGAATAATTTAACCAACTTTTAAGACTGAACTTCGGAGGTGTGGGAAAATATCCCTGCAGATTTCTTTGAAAAACTAAAAGCAAGTCTCACAAAAAGAATGAATGCTGTAATAAAGGTTGTTGGGATGTCGGCGTAATTTTCACTTAAACATGTTTTCTGTTCCTTTATCAGATGCTGAAAAACAAATAACTTCTACTTAATGTCCATTTTGATCAGAACTAAAATAAATACGTGATAAATTAAGCGAACAAAATCACTTTTGGCTGTATGGTATGATCAGTTAGATTTTTGCAGATTTGTGCTTATACAAGCTCAGAAAACACATGGACCAAAGTAAATTATAAAAAATTTCGATATGAACATTAAAGAGAGAAAGGTGGACGTTGATGGTTCAGCTCCACACTCTGCTCTCTGGCGTGTGATCAGGCTGAGTGGGGGGTTGGTGAAGAAAGGGCCGGTGAGCTCTAAGTTTAGACACAGTACCATTTCTAAACACAGCCGTGTGCTGAGCTATTATTAGACTCCTGGCAGTGTTTCCATGAGCCATCTTAACACGTCTCCCCTGCAGCTTGCAGGGGCTGGAGCAGATTATTTTCTGCTTTCTTTTTTTATTTGTTCCTCCCTTTCTCGCAATCACACTTGGTGAGCCCGCAAATTGTGCATCATCTTAGGAGAATGTGTCTGTAGGGGGAAAAAAATATCAAACCCCAGTTTGTCCGTCCTGAGTATGGTTCTGGCACTGGAGAGAGAGAATAATCATAATAACATTTTTTGGATGTGTGTTCTGTGTCTAGGCCAGATGAGGAGGGAATGAGCAGCAGACTGTAGAATGTATATGTCTGGAACAGGAAAGGACGAATATACAGTCAAGCCCACCCACAAGTGGACTGCTTTAACAGTCACAAAGGCACTTATTTTAGTCCTGATAACAGATCTAAATGGAGCTAAATGGATACTGGAACAGAAGGACACACACATTATATAAACACATACTGTACGTACACAAATCCAAGGCTTGTTGTTCCAGACAGTAATATTCAGCGCACTCTTAAAGGAGTAGTTCACCGAAAAATCAAAAGTACAAAAGTACAAAATTTTATCCTAATCCTCAAAATGTAGCTGATTCTCCAAGAATTATTTGGTGTCTAAAAGTTTGCTTCTTCAGTTTTGCACTGTAGCTACAAGGCCGATGTACAGTGTTGATTTTCTAAGTGAAAATAATTGAGCATATCCATCACAATGTAAATAAGGTGTTTTTCTGTACCTTTTAGTGCACAATTTCTATTTATTTGTAGAGTAACATGTAGAAAAACATAAAATGTAAAATATAAAATATGCCATAACTTTTGCACAGGCCACATTTTATATTTTATTTTTCCCCAGTATGTTATATTCAAATAAACAGTAATTGTGCATTAAAATCTCAACATGAAATAAATACACAACATGTAATTTGATCAGGGGAGCTCAAACAAGTACTTTCAAACAAGTAATTGCAAGTCTATGTCACTTAAAATCTTTTCATAAACTTCCTCAGAGCTACAATGCAGGGTTTCCATTAGCCAGTAAATACTGCCTTTTGACCAGTGACAGGACTGATAAATTAAAGGTCAGATTGAAGGTAAAAATATGCATCCAAAGTTCATGTAAAATGTCAAGTAAAAAAATTTTGTGGCAACGCGTTCTCTGCTGTTCTGCATATGGATGCAATGTTTCATTCCTACTCTGAGGTCTCAGGATGTTCTAAAACGCTAATCAGATCAGTCACTGACGTTATTCAAGTTCAGTAGCCCACTGCTGACCTCTGTGCCAAGACATTTAGCTTAAGTAAAACTCTGGTTGGCTTTATCTTCATCTTATTTACCAACGAATCTTCCATGAGACATTTCTATCAAAAAATGCATGTATTTTGTTATGGATAAAGGAATATGCTGAAAGAAGTAGTGTCATTTTTAAGTGTTTAGGTGTAGCTAACAGCTAGGCTATTAACTCTTTCACAAGTAAATTGTCTCCTATGGTCTGCCTAATAGCACCCCTAGATTTGATTATTACCTCTTCATTAGCAGAGCACTATAGGAATCAGTTACAAGCAAACAAGGTCACATCATGGACCCTGTGATAATTTTTTTATTACTGTGTTTTTTGCACATTTTAAAAAGGTGGTTATACATTAGGTCTTCCAATTCTGTTGTTCACTGAAACTTACAAATACAAAGTTTTTTAAATAATTTTTTTTCAAATATAAAATATAAACACAAGAATTCTACAGTGAAAGCAGCCATGTTTTTTCACATTGCTGTGAATCACTGCAGTCTGGATGTGATTATAGTTGTACTGAGATTTTGTGGTGAGATGGTTAAGTTACATTGATTAACACAGACATGTATTGCAAATGTCACCATGTTTTGGCTGCATTTTAGGGACACTCTGTATGTTGTAGTAGGACAAATCAGCACACAGTTTTGATGAATGGGTCAAAACAAAGCTGATTGTTGCGTCAGCTGAACATTGTTTCGCCACTTTCCACCACAGCGTTTGAATCCCTCATGTGGGACCACTGTACTGTATCTACTAGGGACCAGCCGTACTTGGGAACAGTCACTGCAAGAAGTATTCCCTGTCAAACAGTTATAAATAGCTTTGCTCAAAACCTTTATTTGATCATTTATGGGTGGAAATGCATGTTTATACTGATCTGGTGGTCAGTAAAGAAGAGTGCTGGTTATCCATCAGATAAAACACAGAAATGTGGTCTCAACATGCAGCCATGCCAACAAATATTCTTTAGCATGGAGTTTATATTGAAGTCTGTGAGGATATGCAGTAGGTAATGTTTGGATCAGCCTGTCATGCCTTGTGATAACATAATCAGGTGTAAACGATTGGATGCCCTGGTCAAATTAAATGTTTTGTTGATTTTTTAAGTGAAAATAAGTTAACACAGTCTTTATAGAGAACACAGAGGATATGTTCACTTATTTTCCCTTAGAAAATCAACAGAACATCTTTTGACAGAGAGTGTTAAATCTTTTGCATACGACTATATGACAGGAATTTTACTTATTTGTCCAACAAACTGAATCATTCCTGGACTCTTCTCTAATACAAGACTAAAGGAGTTTGCACACTCCTAATTTTCCATGTGTTAACTCCCATTCTTTGTTAGCTGCATTAGCCTGTAGTTTTGCTCCAGCGCAAAACTTCTCTTGGCCACCTGACTATGTTTGAGATAATGGTAAAACTGTACAAATGTAAAGATTTTTTTATGTTAAACTTTCCTTTAAAAACAAAGGCTCCTAAATAGTTCTTGCATATAGGAAGAGCCTTTACTTTGTATACAGTTTTTTACATCATGTGGAAGTTTGTTAAGCTTTATAAATTGTTCTTCATGTTTGCACAGCTCATTTACAAAAATTTACAACTTCTTTAAATTCATTGGAAGCTTGTATGGAACCTAAAGAGGTTCTTCAATGGAATCGATCCACAGAACCCATTTTGACACCTTCTTTTTTAAAGAGTGTGGGTGAGGCACGCAGCCTGCTGCTTTTATGGTAGATTTAAAACCAGACACTCTGGACACAGTGAATAACCCTTGACAGTTTGCCTGTAAGCAGAGTGTGCCCTGTTCTCTGGCATTGGACTCCAGCTCCAGCTGCCTTATTTGGGAGCTTATACAAACCATGTGCCACTGAATGGAGTTTGGTGGGAAGATAGTGAGAGAAGAACACTACAGAGGATGACAGAAAGGATATCAAGAAGAAGAAGATTAGGGAAAAAAGGAGAAGAAAAGAAAGTTGCTCTCGGAATCAAGCCCTTGTGCAAGAGAGCCCTAAGGAATGAAAGATGGATGGGGGGGGGGAGAGGGAGGAGAGGATTATAAAGGGGTGGAAAACATACACAGCCAATGACCGGCCAGAGAAAGTGAGCCTTTAGAGCTGTTAGATGGTCAGTCTTCACACTCCAAGAAAGGTTCCTAAAAAGCCAATGAGTGTACATCAGATCTGTGGTGGACTCACCACTTTGCCTCAGGAGAATGACATAGGAATCCATGAAGGATAACCTTTTTTACAGGACTCTGTGATGCTTCAGTAAGTGACCGTACTCAAGGGACAGTAGTGATCTACCATGATTTTTTCAAGCATTTGTGAATTGGAACACTTTGTGAGGCGACTTTGATTCAGGAAAACATGATTTTTTAAAAAAAAAGAATTTGTGATTTGTGATGCTTTACGAAGTGACCTCATGCTAAGGGGACAGCAGTGATTTGGGACAAGGCCCGACTGAAGAGTGCCGCACGTCTGCTTACTTGGAAGAAGCAGCAGAAAAGGAAAGCTGTGTGGGAAAGCAAGCACGCGTCAGCCCAGACAAAAGCGCCCTCCGTTCTTCCACAATCAATTATTTATGTGTAGGAGTGTTCCAGTGGGCCAGGCGAAAAGGAGTTGGGCTGCGGCTCAAAGCTCGGCCACAGTGCGCCACAGGAAAGAGAGGGATAATTGGAAGACAGGGCGAAGATAGAGAAGATCAGAGTGCTGCACAATGAAAGCTCTTCAGAAGAACCAAGGGCGCACCGATCAGATTTTGGGTGCTATGGCAGATATGCTGAGCTCACTGGCCATGCCCAATCAACAGTGGGTGAGTGACTTTGTATGTTGGCTTTTTCCACAGATTTATCCGTTCTCAGCTTTTTTAAAAAATCGGTTTGGGTTGTTTCACTTTGTTGTTTGCGCACTCACAGACTTCATGAAGCTCTGAACATTTCTAAAAATGCATCTGAATGGGCAGGTGGTGATGTTTGCACAATGCCATGTGACTTCCTGATGATGACTAAAACTTGGTTGAGATTCACATTTTCCAGTCATTTCCTGATGATAAATGTGAATTAAGTCATTTTATTGTCAACTGTTTATGTATTTTTAGCCCCAGGCCACTTCACCGTATCAGAGAAAGGGAATAAGTGAATTACCATTGTTTTTGTAGGCATAATAAAAAATAAAGTCTTAATCTGGGCCATCTATGATCCATCTGTCCTTGTTTTTGACATTATCATCTAATAATCACTCATGAAAGGCATAATGATTAGACCTTTGCCTTTCCAACAACCCACTTGGCATGACCTCCCTGTCAATTCACGTCAGTAGACTGTCCTGAGCTGAAGCTAATGGACTGAAGTCTCACTATTTACAAACACATTCCAGAGATGAGATGAGATTTCATGTTTGTATGTGTGTTTGCAGTAGTGTGTGGTGGGGTTTGTGGAGATAAGGAGACAGAATTCTAAAACAAACACAAAAATGTTTAACATATTCACTGTTTGTTGACAAGGACAGTAGGAAGTTGAAAAAATGTATTCCATCACAGGAATCATCAGTTGTGCTGATTCAAAGCTTAGAATCTGCACTTTAGATAGAGTTTTTTTGCTTTTTTAAATGTGCAATGAGTGCTAAATTAATTACTAATAATCCTAGGAAATATAGATTATTTTTGGCCTTTACAGAGGTTACAGGGTGTGCATGTCTAAAATGTTTCAGCGTGTAAAACAGGCTTTCTGTTTTCCATGTTTTCTATTGCTCTATAAAACATGAATGAGGCTTCCTTCACTGTGAATCTTCCCAGTGACCATGTGATCTCATTCAGAGCCTAATAAGTGACACTACTGTTATCTGATTTATATTCTTGTTGTTCTTCTTCTTCTTCTTTTTCTTCTTCTTTTTCTTCTTTTTCTGCTGGATTTTTGTCTGCTAACTCGTCCTGCAGTTTTCAAAATATCAACACCGTTCCAATTATACAATGTTTGGTCCAATCGGGAATGATATGCTTGTATACAGCTTTTTAATCCGATGTACGATTTTCATACAATCTTCATTAAATTCCAGATTTTTCCCCATAGGAGTGAATAGGGTAAAGATTTTTACATCCATCTACTGTACTTCTACTAAACTGAAACACTCCGTTGTGCATATACTGTCTTAGGGCAGGCCCCCGAGCCCAAATTCAATGTTGTTCTGACCCAAACTCATCTGCTTATCATTTTTCCTCACGCCTTGTTTCTCCCATAGACTCCCACTCATTTTTGCCCCCCCCCACAAGCCCAATTATTTCTTTGCCGGACAGCCACCAAGCTGTATGTCCGCACTCAGTGCAGGTCCTCAAGCTCTAGTCCACAGTCTTATTGACCTGCACTTCTCTATGTGTAATTTTTTCACCTCTCATTCTTCTCATAGACTCCCATTCATTTTCACCAACACGTAGCTACCACTTGACAACTTTCTACGAGCGAAACACCTTGTAAACCATGGCAACTGCCTAGCAACAATTTAGCAACCGCATGGGATAACATAGCAACCGCCTAGAAACACCTTAGCAACTGCCCGGTATACCATAACAACCAGCTAGCAGCCCCCTAGCAACCACCTGGGTTACCATAGCAACTGGCTAGCAGCTCACTAGGAACCACCTCGTATACCATGGCAACCACCTAGCAAAACCATAGCAACCACTGTGATACAATAGCAACCTCCTAGCACCACCTTAGCAACCACCTGGGATACCATAGCAACTGCCTAGCAACCACCTGGAGTACCATACCAAATGCCTAGCAACCCCTTAGCAACCACCCGGGATGCCATAGCAACCACCCGGGATGCCATAGCAACCACCAAGCAACACCGTAGCCACCACCTTGGATACCATAGCAACCTCATATGCAACACCCTAGCAGCCACATGGGACAATATAGCAACCACCAAGCAACACCTCAGTAACCACCTGGAATTCCACAGCAACTACCTATCAACACCCTAGCAACCATATAAAATACCATAGCAACCGCCTGGCAACACCTTAGCAACCATTTTCAAATCGCTGTGCAATCACTCTGCATTTTCTTTGGAAAATGCACTATTCTCGTTCGTATCTGTAAGCACTTATTATTGATTGGCTTTATCAGAGAAAGAGTAGAGCTCATCTAATGTGTTAGATGCGTAGTACGGATACATAATGCTGCTAGTGACCTATATTCCTTTTCATGTGTTTGCATGTTCAAAAAGGTAGTTAGTGACACAAGCTAAATAAAAATCTACAAATGTTTGGCTTTGTTAGATTACGTTCTTTACATATCAGATGAATGCAATGACAGCACTGAGAACAGATTAAATGGCAGAAATACCCACGTTTATGCATTGACAGAGTTGACTTACAGCACACTTTTCAGAGTGATAGAAAGAAGTGGATAAAGAAAATATATTTGTCAAAGATTTCAGAGACAAGCTAAGCTTACAGAGAGAGAAAATGGTGAAGTTTTGGTTGGGGGGATTAGACTGGGACTGGTTACTGTGACAAATGGTGGGGCTGGTGTCTCCTCAGGGCTGGAGAGGAATTTTGGATGTCTTACAAGCACAGGAAACAGAGTAGCACTGATGAAGACATCTCCCTATAAACAAACACACCACGCAGGCCCAACTCCTCACCACAGCTGTCATGCAAGCGTCCCAGTGCACTCTGACTTTCTGTCTGCCTGGGTTTCTTTCCAAGCAAAGGCAGCTTTCACTGCCTCAGAACCAGTAATAGTCCACCAAAACAAATCATAAAATAGGAATGAATACATAATTCTGCTATTTTAATATTTCTAAATTGCAAAAGGTGACCAATATAGTTAATAAAAGTAAAAAGAATGGAAAGCAGCAAACTAACTGGGAGAGATTAGCATATGTTGTGTGAAGCTTTTCCATCTCTGGATGACACATGGCCTGAGGACCTACTTCAAGGTCTGCAATAAGGTAGATTTAAAACGCCGCTATTATACACTTACAGTTCCACTCTCCTTGCCAGAATAAAGTCTGTTGAGGAAATTATTTGCACAAGGAATTTAAGCTGTTGATTTTCAACATTTTAGTTAGAATATGTTATAATTTAAAGATGATCATAGCATTTATACTCGCATTGTCATAAACTGGATCAGTAATAAATACATGTGAATGCCAAAAAGTAAGATCCAAACTCATAGTCTTTAGTATCTCTTTAATAATAGCAAGATAGATACTCTTTGAGTATCTAAGTAACAAAAACATGTAATGTTTATTATAATGATGATATCCACATTTGAAGTGCGTTCGCTGGAAAGTGGTGTACTTGTGATACCTACAGTATTTGGGCCAGGACTGATTCTGAGCATTAGGGGGCCTAAGTGAAGTCCTGTTTGAGGCCCCCATCACCCACCTCCCGCATTTTACTTTCAATGCAAAAATGAGAAAGTTTAATAAAAAGAAAAACAACAAAAAATGCCTACATAGTGAGGAAATTGACTGCTAAAAGAGTACACTCTTAAAAAGGGAGTTCTTTAAGGTTTCTTTAAGAAACAGTAATGTTGTATATAGAACCATGGCAATTCAAAAAACCATTAGAGTGTTTAAACAGATCTTTGCATGGTACCTGGCTTAGTACCTGGTTCTTTAAAATGTTTTGTACTACCTTCACAAAAAAAGTTATTACATGAAATGGTTAAGAATACTCTGTCTGATGCCTGAGGTGTTGTTTTTCAATACTTTGGAGATAAACTTTTGGTCTAAAATATATATACCATTCATGGCAAATAGAGGTACAAGCAGGATGTTCTATGGGTTTTTTTCCAATTTACCACTAGTTTAACATGATCTGCATCACATATGAAAACTATGAAGAACTGTATGTTCACTGCATTTAATAGATATTTTGTTGAACGTAGTCGTCATCTAGTAATCACCTTTAGCAGACTATCCAAATAAAGTGTTGCAGGCCCCCTTGTGGTTCGGGGAGCCCTGAACGACTGCTTATACCAATTACAGCAAGTAACAATCATGATTAGGGCTGCATTGTATCATTTGCTGATTGTTCTTGTGATATTGGCCTTTCAATACTGATATTGCAGAAGCCCTCAAGCCAAATATACATTGTTTTTTGCATTGTGAGCTGTGAACATTCTGACCAACCTCGGTGTTTTGGTCAAAAGAAATTTTAATTTTGTTCTTAGAAGTTCTGCAATGTGTTTAAACATACTGCAGAACATATTGCAATCACAATCTACAGTCGTATGCAAAAGTTGGAACACTTATGGTCAAATTACATGTTGATATTTGATTTTCTGGGTAAAATAAGTACACACCCTCCACAAAGAACAAACATTTTTCTGCAAATGAGCATCATTTTTACTTGCTGAAGAAAAAAACACTTTTGCACAGGTAACATTGTGTTTTATTATTTTTTTTGCCCAATGTGTAAAATTCAGCAAACATTATACTTTTTAATATCATGCAGCTTTAGCGAGTATTAACTGAACACAACTGTTATATTGAGTTAAGAATATTGAACTATATTACTATTGAATTTTGAAATGCATGTTTTCTATTGCTAGAGTGATAATTAACTTTTTTTGGAGAAAAAAATGATATCTGAGTAAATCTTTGACTGCTTTTTTTGTTTTATTTCCTGTCACAGTAGTATTAATTGATAAAATTTATATTGCAATGGCACTTTTTCCCAGAATCTTCAGCCCTGGCAGACCTTTTTATGCATTTATACGCTTGTGTTACAGAACACAGAGGGCAGTGAGGAGCCGGTGGTGGATGGGGAACAGAAAGCAGCAGGCCAGCCTCGGTGGGATCCAGAAGCCCTGGAATGGGAGCAGGCGTCTCAGGACAGCCCTGAGAGAGGGCAAAGAGACAAAGAAGGTAAGACTTGGAAGCCTTATTTGGTCGTGTTCGGCTTGACTTGGACAGTAGGTTTATTTAATACATCAAATTTTGACTGTGATCAAGTTTCCAGATTCAGCTGAGAACAGAGTGATGCAATGCTGTAGGCAACAGAAATAGCAAGGTTAATACGTACATAAGTCATGCATGAAGACCTTTAACTGACCTCTCACAAAACAGCTAACTTAATGGTTGTATAGAGAGAGTTAGCATCGTGCTAGCATCTCCTAGCACACTGTATCTGACAACAATGTATGCAAAAAGCTCTTTGGTTCCAAACAGTGGACAAGCTTATGGAGAATTAATTTATAGGGCTGCTGAAACATATGAAGAGGGGTACTACTACTTATGGCTATTATAATGACAGTTTTAAAACACTGCCAGAAGGAAGGGGTGGTGCTTTTTTTTAACACAGCCATAGTCGAGCTACAGATCAATATCAAGAAAATTGAATAGGAAGTTTCAGTATTCAGATGCACATTGAAAGGAAGGTAATTAAAATTAGTGGAAAAATAATGTATTCAAAAGCATATGAACCTTTAAGAGTTACATTTGTTGGTTGTAGGTTTGCTGTTAGGCTATTAACTATTAAAGGAGAATTCCACTGACTGTTGAGTTTCTGCATAGTTCAGTGGTTGAAGGGTTGAGAAACTTATCAGTTCCTTTACAAATGTCTACACAATATTGACAGTTTATTTATTATCCATAGTAACCAGTGAACCTACATGGATAAAAAATGAAATGTTAGATTTCCTTAAAAATGTTATGTCAAGTGGTTTCACATATGTTAAGTAGCTTCTAAGACACTCAATTGAGAAATATGTACTTCAATGCACACAGTGAAAAGTAGGCCACAGCTAAAACAACACGAAGAAGACGAGTAAAACAAGTAACACAGTATGCAAATAGATGTTCTCAGGTGGCATTGGCAAAGATCTTGAGTTTTACTCGACAAGATTACATTGACCGAACACTGATGAAGCAAATCTGACAACTCACTGAATTTTATTGAAACAGCACAACTAACTCATTTTCAATGACTTACATGTATTTGTTAAGTGATATCAATGAGAGTAAATTCATAAAAACCAGCAACAGAATAAATTCACTTTTTTGAGTGTACACATCTTCTAAAATTTTAATGCTGATGATATCGCTGAACTTTTTTGTTGTCTTTTGGAAAGAATAAGCAAGTGTTGAATGTTTAAATGACTAACCAGGAACTATTCACTGTGACAGTCATGCAAGAGCATAGTGATTATATTTTAGCGACTGACTGAAGATTGGTGTTTTAGGGTGTCAGCTAATGCTTTGATTTTGATGAAGAGTAGGCGAAAACAAGACTGATCTTATCAGTCATCTGCTGTGCGTTCTCAGTGAAAGTGTGACTCTCTACAAAGTACTGTGGATTTTGTGGAAAATGTAAATGATTTTGGATGTGGCAGCCTAATTACATTAACATTATAGAAAATAAACAGGTCTATAAACAGGACGTGCTAGTGAGTGTGCCGCAAGAGGCTCAGCACCCCCCAGCACCATGTCTGAGCTTATGGACAACCACACTCTTTGGCTGTTTCCACACCTAGTTTGTTTGCTAAAGTCCACACAAGAGTGCAGACTTTTGTGGCATTGCATCTTTTTTATTTGGTCCAGTTGGTTTCACATTGCAGCAGCTAAAGTGCACCAGATTACACGTGGCCTCACCCTTTCACTCTCTCTGGGTGAGTAGAATGGTCGTCTCTCTCACTCGTCACTCATTGTGATGCTAGCCAACACTGGCATCTGTTAGCTGACAAAACAGAATTGGCAGAATGACAGAATTGTCATTCTTAAGAGTGTATCTTGATACAGGCACTTTTCTTAGTGACCACTAGGAGCATGAGTACATTAATTTGACTGACAGTCCAAATAAACACATGGGCTTGCAATGTTTGTACACTGCCAAATATTTACAAATGTATCAAGCCACTATTAACATGTTTTGTGTGCCCAAATGGAATTATAATAGTTTCAGTGTGGGCCAAAAGGAATTATCAAATTCATATCAGATGTGTAGCCATGCATGTGGCAGATCAGATTTTAATACGGCTAATACCTGATGCCCGACTTTAGCTGCAGATTTTCAGAGGTCCAGCAGGCAAATCCCACAATCAAGGCCTAATCCGTATGTTTTGCTTTACTTGCCAAGCTGGTGGAGTGGGGTGAGAATCCGCTGTGCGGCGATAAATGAAGGTAGTATGGCTGCTATCAGATTGGATTTGTTACAGTGGCAAGCTGGAGGTTAATGAACCACACCCTGTAAACTGCACTGCATGGGCTGATAATCAGAGTGGCCTAATCAAACCGGGGAAGGGATGTGGGCCCCTGCTAATGTTCCATGCAGAAATCTTGATGAGTTGCCTGCCCAGAGCAACATCCAGATGCATGGGAGAACCATGGAGGCACAGCTTGCTCCAGAGTCAGAAAAAAAACAAACCTCAAAAAGCCTATCGATTGCAGCCGTAGTTATTTTGCCTAGGAAAGCTTTGCGTGCATTCACATTTTCCTTGAGTGCATTGGAACAAAAGGAGCTTTGTAACTTCACTGGGGGAACTGGGGTTTGGGGTTTGCACCATATGGCTGGATGGCAGGCTGTTATGCAGAACGATGCATTTAAGAGAGCGAGGAGGCTGTTGAAGATGTTTGTTTCGAGCGAGACCACTTAGATAGATTACACTGCCAAAGCTCTGTCTTCCAAATATTGGCTTATGTAATGGCACGAGGCAGCGTGAGTGCTATGAGCTTTGTTAGCGCTGTCTTCTGCTGACGTTTGCTGACCTGCTTCCTCCACGTGTTCATTATATTGGCTTATACAGGGTCAAATTTCTCAAAGCTCTGCTGAAGTTGGAGATTTTAATAGCTGATAACTCTATAATGGTTACCAAACTGTGTCTACTTTAGCTAGGAAAGATCTTGCTAGGCATAAAGAAGTCCGCCTCACTTATGTTAATGCAATTTGAGTGACCCATCAATAAGGTTTGAAAGGGTCGGAGTGGAGTTTCCATGCTTTACTGGGGGGAGGAGGCCCCAGCTCCAGTTACTGAAGAGGAAACGAAAGAGAGAGAGAGAGGGATGGATAGAGGCATAGGAGATCACCCATCTGTTACAGATTAGGAACAAGATGCCTTCTAGTGGCTTCAGTGGAATCACAGGACTGTGCCAGCATTTCCCTAAATCACAAGCAGACACTGCAATTTGCAGTGAGGCTCTATCCCTTGTCCTCTCACTTATTTTTGCCTCTTTGCCCCTACACCGTGCCTAAAAGCAGTGGGGAACTCTGGAGGCCTTCGAAGCCTTCAGAGAAAGCCTAATGATTTCTGGGAACTAAATTGCACATAACTATATTTTTATTTAAAAGACTCATCATGCTTCTTGTATTTAAACTCTACAAGAATTATGGTAATGCCTTATTGAATTGTTAAGTTTTGACAGGAAACAAAAGGGTTGTGATCCTGAAACGTCCAACTGAAAATTGTCCAATCAGAATTTCTTTCTCAGTGGTATCTAGGTAGATACAGCCAAACTTTCCTATTGGTTAGGACTTTAGATGCTGAACTGACAGTCTCATAACATTAGAGTAGCTTCCAGCTTAATTAGACAATGACAGAGAAATTAGCCATTTTCAATCTTGTTTCGATTTCCAAAGGGTCGGACTAATACCATGAGAAAAACGTCGCTTGAATTCTAGATACATCACTGACTGTGAATGCAAGCCTCAGTCTAACTGGGTTTCAGCAGAAACCTTATAAAGGAGGGAACTTTTTGGAAATTGGATGGGAGAGCTTGCTACGCTCAATGTGGCGTGTGTTCATAGGGAAGGTCCGCCCTTCAATAAAAAGAGCCAACCAGCTTGCTGGTAAAGCCACAAATAGGAAAAGCTCCACTTCGTTGTGGAAATATGCTCAAGTACAGTATCCAGAACAACCTGCACTTTTGTGATTTCATTTATGTTTCTGAAATGTTATTGTGGCTTTAGTTAAGGGTTTATAGGTCTCTCTTCATTTAAAGAGCCAGGAGGGATTGTAGGACTGGGAATAACAGCCTAGGGGCATTTCCAAGGTAGCCATTGAGTGGACAGACTTCCCTACAAGGACTTGAGTTCCAGTCAGATGTTAGAAATGGAAAACAGCAGCAGCAGCTCTATGCCAGGGCTCTTTATTGAAGGAATCGCTGTAAAACTGTTTACAGAGTTTTGACATTTTTGGCCTGTACTGAAGGCCTAGCTCTGTTAGTCATGGTTCAACACTGCCTAAAAGGATTCTTTTGGTTCTTCTGTGTTTTTCGACCTAATCTTTATTTGCTCTATCTGTAGTAGTATAGTCACTTCTCACAAACCATTTTTTAGTAAAAAACATACAGTGCAGATACGTTGACTCAGAACCCGTTCACCCGTTCAGTGCCCATTCACTTCAGTTATAAGTGTCTCCTGTCCTTTTGCAAAGTATCAGGTAAAAAACATCTAAATTATCTCTCTTTAAAATAATGATTCTTAGTTCTTGGCTTAAACACATAGTTCTAGGAAAAACATTTAACTGATATAGAGCCTTAACATTATGTGGAGGATTTCTAAACTTTAAAAAGTTTCTTAACACCTGCATGTCCCTTTTACAAAAATGGTTCTTAAAAGACTGTCTGTTGAATGGTTGTTTGGGAACTAAAGGTGTCTTCTACAGTACTGCTCCAAAGAATTTTTGGCACCTTTATTTTTAGGAATGATTGTCTGTGGTAAACAGCTGTATATTACAGATACAGCTGATAAAGATGAAAACATTGGAATGCTCCCTTAATGCACCATCATTTGATAGGTTCCTTTTTAACCAAAGGTGGTTCTTCTATGGCATTGCCTTAAGGAACATTATGACAACTTTATTTGAAAGTGTGCAAGGTCGTCTGTTCTGCTTCCCTCATCATCATCCCCTTGCAGTTCTTTTGATACGTGA